TAATATATTATATTAATGTAGACAAGTGTGCAGTCATGTATGTAAAGAACGGCGTAATAGTAGAATCTGTAGGAATAGAGCTTCCAGATTAAAAAAAAACTCAGATCTCTGTCTGCCACTGAAACCTTTTTTTTTTTTTGCAGGAGTCGAAAATCCCTTCGGATCTCCGGCTCCTTGGGGATATAGGAGCCACTAGTATGTGGTGATTCCACTAAAAACCACTCCGACGGCCAGCCTTAGGCGCCCTGCTCTGGGGAGAACCCGGGCCATGGGATTTCAGGTCCCCCAGATCGACGCCGCACCTAACTAGGTCCCATCTCAGGGAAAGCCAGTGGCTTCTCCCTGCCTCTCAGCCTATCCAGATGTCGCAGCCCGATCACATTTTCAGTGCGAGCAGGCTGCCATCCTTTCCCCTACCGTAGCAATTAATCTGCCACCAGAGGTCCCCACTCTCTAGCGGCCCGCGGTCCCGTCGGCTGCTCATTACGCCGTCGACGTCTTCTTCGCTCGGGATCGGCCCTCTCCCGATCATGTTCAGCGGTCTCTTTCTGAAGCATTACAGCTTCACAGAAAGAGATCACTGCGCCCCAGCCCACCCGCCGCAGTATTTGATGTGCTGACCGACCTCGACCTATGTTCCCCCCATTCTGATAATCGAGCGGGTGGGAACTGCACCTCTGCGTTTCCTATGGAACCACAGGGCTTCCGTCTTATGAGGTGCAACCCTTAGACCCAGACCGCTGATCTTTTGGACGACACAAGCCACCCCTGACTCGGCGAGCTCTAGGACCTCCCGGAAGCCATGCCCCCCAGCCAGTGCCAGAGTGTCGTCGCCACTGAAACCTACAAGTATCTAGGTATATCACATTCGTTGGGAATACCAGAATCTGACATGAAAAAGACGTTCCAGGGACGCTTTTATGCCGCCTGAAAAATGTACTTAAAACTCTTTTATCAGGGGGCATCAAGGTCGACTTAGGCAACCAAGCGTCGGGCACACCGTGGCTTGAGAGGCGTCACGGAATCCTCTCATACCGGCTGACGTAGGTGATCACCGGGAAAGTTTGTTCTGGAGATCACCTCTGTCTGGCCCGCAAGGAGCCAACGCTTGAGTGCCACCACTACGGTGGACGGACCGTGGACACGGCCCTCAACACGTTGGCAGAATGCCCGGCGTGGGTGGAGCAGAGGCGTGATCTCGTGGTGGTCAATGGAGTGGGAGTCCTCTCGCTCGCTAGCCAGAGAGCGGGACCGGGAGATGTTTAGAACTGTCCCGGCCTGCCAGACCCGGGCACGGGCCAGGTACCGCAAGCGACTCGGACGCCGGAGGTCACAGAACAACCTCCGTCCTCCATAAAGTACAGGCCTGGAGGTGAAAGTGAGGCCATTTGTCACTCTAGCAGAAGCAGGCCGGGGTGGTGGCGAGACGCACTTCGAAGCGCGCGCCCCCCTTTTGGCAGCACAATGGGAACATGAGGGTGCCCATACAGGAGAGGGTCATCTACACGCCGTGGATGGCCCGAGGTACATCGGGGTAAAAGGGATTTCCTTTCTAGGGTCCACCTGGTTCCTCGGCTACTGGTACCCAAAATGGAATGCGGTTTTTGGTCGGTTCGACATAATCACCCCACCGGTGGGTGCTATCCGAGGGGATTTCCGCACAGGAAAAAAAAGGGCTGCAACAAGGTGCGAGCCTACAATGGTTGGGTTGTTGAGAAACTGAAGATTTTCACACATCTCAACTATCTAATAAACACACTTATATATTTCTAAATACATATATATTATAGATAAAGTACACCCAGACACAGAACAAATGACCGTGCTCATCACACAATTATTTGTACTGGGTGGGAATCGAACCCGACGACGACCTCTGGCGTTGCAGTCAGTGTCACTAACCACTAGACCGACAGGCCAGACATTATTTAAAACAAAATCTAAACATAATTCGTAAGTTCTATATTATATTAAATTCTATATAAAAATTTGCATGAAAAAAAGATAATGTCAGAATTTGTATAAAAAAATAACAATAATTATGATGTCAGTGAAATAGTAGATCATGAGTCAAATTAACTAGGTTATGGTAGATAGAATTTAGAAAAGAAAAGTGTATTGATTATATTAGATATTTGTCTTCTAAATATTAATTACTACTGTAGTATATTTTTTGTTGTAATCTAATCTATCTCTCTAATCTATCTAATCTCTATAACATGTACAGAGCATACGAGCTTTTACTAAGTTTAGAGCATAGATTTTCAATGTGTACCTTCCAATTTAGGTTGCAATCAATATCCAGGCTAACGAACCTGCAAAGTCAACCTCTTTTATTTGTTAACCTGAAAACTCGATTTTAAAATTCAAAGCAGTTCTAGTTCTGTTTAAAATAAATGGCACTAAACTGATTTTTTTTTTAAATTAATAATTAGGTTTTTTATTAGCTTTGTTAGGGTTTAGGTTATGCTGTGTTTGTTTATCATGATTTTGATCAGGAAATATGACAGTCCTAACGTCACCGAAAGAATCATCGGAGAGGTAAGAGCTCCCGGGAAATCGTTGATATAAATTAAAAATAACAGGGGTACCAAGACGCTTCCCTGAGGAACACCGTATTTAATTTCTCTATACCCGGACAAAAAGGATCGTTCTTTTATCTCCATTCTATATATTCTAGTAAACATAGTTGCTTGTTGTCAATGGCTCTGATAGGAAATTATTAGATTCAGGGCGTTACCCCATATACCACAATTATACAACTTGTTTTTTAGGAGTTCCTGGTCAACACAGTCAAAAGCTTTTGTAAGATCCATGAACAAAGCACACATCGGTGTATTACGGTCGACATTAAGCATCACTTCCCTAAGCAATTTGAAAATAGCTTTGTTCATAGACATATTTTTCCTATTTGTACTTTGGTAATAATATTATATTTTTCCAAAAAATTATATAAACTCTCATGGATAATATTTTCCACGACCTTAAATAATACAGGTATAAGAGCTATGGGCGTGTAGTATGTTCTTCTTATCCTTTTTTAAACAGTGGTTTTAATCTTGACGGCAATATGCCATCACATATACACAAGTTAAAAATGTTACAAAGAATTGGAGATATAATGTGGCCTACAGGCTTGATTACTTTGGTCGCTATTTCATCGTACCCATTGTTATTTGTATTCTTGAGCGATTTTATTATTCTGTGTACGTCTTTTAGTGTAGGTCTAGTGGGTTAAACGAATATTGAATTACAATTATAATTATTGTATGTAGGTTTATTGTTAAATGTCAATTTATCACGGGTTTTATTATTGGATGTCAAATTCTTTTTAAATGTCAAATAATTATTATTTGAAGACTTTTTTATTTTGAATTAATCAATTTGATCAATATAAAAATTATTAAAACTATCTGCAATTGCTCTCGGATCTGTAATTAATTTCCCATTTACACAAATCTGTGTGATATAATCTTTTGGTATCTTAAACTTACTTCTATTTATTGTTCCAGGTTGCTATAATCTCATTCTAGCTACTTGAGATATAATAATCATTCTGTGATTTCTTTGTAAGTCTAATTATTTATTTAATTTAATTGAGTACGTTTTAAATTTAATTCTGTCAGTGACATACCTAGTTCTCCTGTATTTCAAAAGTAAGCTGCGTTTTCGTTTAAAACATGGTTTAATTCTTTTGCTAATCCATTTATGTTTTGGAAAATATTATGGGAAACACAACTTATAAAGGAGATCAAATAGATTATGAAAATAGTTAAACGCTTGTTCCGGATTGTTGCTACTATGTATGTTACATCACTAAATGAAAGACAACTGATATATTTTTTGAATTGTTCTAAAGGTTTAACTCTACAATCCTTTTTATTAATATTTTATTAAATTAAATAAAAATTGTATTTATAAGTTTATTTCACTTGTGTCTCGTTACCCCTTTTATTGTTTAATTTGAGGTAGTATTACAAAAATATAGCGATTCCACGATTCTCTTGACCAGAATTTCCAAATGCATGCAAAGACAACTAAATGCCTTTTTTCCGGATATTTGAATGAAATTTAAGAGTATAGATGGTGATTTTTATTGCACACATTTCTTAAATTCAACTTTTTTTCAAAAAATAAATTGGTTTTTACCGTTTTTTTTTTGGCACCTTGGCTGACAATATTTTGTTATAATTTTTATTGCAGTCAATTCCTGATAGTTGAATCTTCAATAAAAAAAAATGTTTCCGGATTTTTCAGGTTTTTTTTCGTTAATTTCTATAGAAAGCATTTTTGAACATTTGTGACTGTGAGCACTGATTTACTAAAGGTACTTTAGAGTTTACAGCTCTCGGAATTTCAACACAATAATAATGGTTTTTAGAGCCTTTTAAATGAGCAGTTATGCAACAAAACTGAAGAATTTAAAATATAAATTTTATTTGCCAATGAACTCATTAACAAAATAATAAATCAGTTAAACTAAACCCAATATGAGAGTACCAAACAACACTATCTGTTGTCAGATGGTAACATCTCTCCTAAAATATATCAGAATACTTATTTGTTTTAAGTTATCCACTTATAAAACATTCATTCTGATTCTAAAGCTGAAATTAACTAATCCTAAATTGATCATTCATGTACTCGACGTTGTTAATTTACAGCATGTCAGCTTATTCACTTCAATTTCAATTCGGGTGAAGACTAATATTACTTTATATTGTTATGTAGAGTAATATTAGTATTTTTAGACATGTTGTCTATGCTTTCTTTCTGTCACTCTGTACAGTCTTGTCAGTTGTCAATTTATCATTATTGTCAGATGCTAGTAGCAGTTGGAAGTTGTAATAAAACTACTTGTGTCGGAGAAACTACTTCATCGGAGTAGTGGACATTGAAGTACACAGTTTTGAAATATTTTACAGACAAATATAATTTATTATATTAATAACAAGATAAGTAGGTACTTATTGTAAACAAGCCAGAGAGTGGACTACCAAATGGGAGAATCTCCAGTTGAAAAAAGACCACAATTTGGAAACAGATTCTTGGAAAATGCTGAGGAAGTTTTCCAACATAACGCGTGGTACTGTATATATTTCTATTTTTAGATATTGTAAGAACTCTCAAGTTGATAAAACGTTATTGGATCTCGAGAAAACAAGACATAGAAAGAAACCAGCTGGAGGTGGCCGAAAATTGAATGACACAAACCATACATATTTTTTCAATGCATGGTACTATTGTTTTTTAATACAGTTTTATCTACAATAAAAAGAAACTTTTTTTTTACCGATGACTTTTTAGACAAGAAATATTATATTAAGTACATAGGTTAGGCAGTTTCCTGTAGGATAGTCTACCAATATAATATTATTTTTATGTAATTAATAAAAATGTATTTTATAAATTACCTAATACTTTAATATCTTAAAATATCTGGTTTTTTTTTAATATCTGATTTCAAATGTGATTTAACTGTTCATTAATTTTTATCATAATTTACATTTATAGGGATAATGTGGACTGGGATGAGGAACAAGAAAAAGTTGCACGGGAGAAGGTTGAATTGAACTCGCAGATTATATTTTCCGATGATCAAATGAAGTCTTTAGAAGATGATGCTGACAAACACTGGGATGCCTTTTATGATATTCATCAAAATAGGTATGTATTATGATAGTGACATCATGTCTGCAACATGCAACTTATGTCAATTTTGATGATTATTCTTAAGATAGAATTAGGTCAGGTAATTCTTCAGCACAAATGGGCCTACTGAATTGGAGTTAAACCAAGGCCTCATAGCAATTAAGCAAATCTTTTATTACCTTACCGGAGACAAAAACTTCCCTCCACCTGATTTTGGTGGGGGATGCAACGGTTGGCAACATGCTTGTCACTCTTGAGTAGACACCTGTAGTGTCCATATGTGGCAGTAGTCACTTACTATCAGGTGACTCATTTGCTTGGTTACCCTCATATGCCATAAAATAATATTTGGTTTCACTCATGTTTCTACAATGGACACTTCATTGAAATCTGAAACTAGTTTGATAATATAAAAATCTACATTTGTAAATCTATATAAATATTAAAAAATGTTGTTCAGTAAATATTTTTTTAAATTAGATGCATACTTAGTAATCTAATCTAATTACAGGTTTTTCAAAGACCGTCATTGGTTGTTCACTGAGTTTCCAGAGCTGGCTCCAGATAACACAACAGCTCCAGTAAGAGTATACCCAGAAGGAAAGAATTGTACAATTAAAAGTAATGAACTCAAAACTAAGAATGAAACAAAACGATATATATTTGAAATAGGCTGCGGAGTTGGAAATACTATCTTCCCTATTCTTCAATACAGTCAAGACCCAAACCTTTTTATATATGGCTGTGATTTTTCATCAAAAGCTATAGATATCATAAAGCAAAGTGAACTGTATGATACAAAGAGATGTAATGTATTTGTCCTGGATGCTACACTCAATGATTGGAATGTACCCTTTCAGGAGAATTCTATAGATATTATTGTTTTAATTTTTGTTTTGTCAGCAATAGATCCATGCAAGTGAGTATAATTTAAACAATCTTTTTATTAAGAAATAGCGGGTACCTGTGTCTACGTCACGTAGAAGCGCTGCCTTGGTGGTATAGTATGGTATGTGACTGCAGTCGATTCCCAGACTGGGCTAAATTTTATTAGGTTTTTCTGAGGTCAAAAATAGCCTATTTCACTCCTCATATAGCTACCTGATAGTAAAATATTATCAAAATCGTTCCAGCTGTTTTGAAGACTACCCATACAAATAGACAGACAAAAAATATTGAAACTGGTTTTTAGACAGGCATCGTGCAAATAACCATGTAAGCATGAAAAACCTATTATTTTAACATTAGTGGGGGGGGGGGGGGGATTTGGGCTCCAGTAACCTCACTTACTCAGTGAAAGGCAACAAAAGAATTGCTTTTCTGTGAGGCTGTAGTATCACTCTGTTGTAGCCCACCCATTTGTGCCGAAACATGGCTCCTACCCAGTCTATGCGCCTTTCTTAAACACCTAACTGACACTATTATTTTTAATTTTGTACTTAATGCCCATTGTCATATGATTTAATCAGTAGGATACTTATTTAGTATTTGCTTAATCTGTCTAATGGGAGTAGGGAGTAATTCTTCATCAGTTGTATCTCTATTTACATTGCATTTAACAGTTATCCAAATACTATTTCAGGATGCCTACAGTAATAAGCAACATCTACAAATACCTCAAGCCTGGAGGACTTCTAGTACTCCGTGATTATGGACGATATGACCTTGCTCAGCTTAGATTCAAGAAAGGTCGCTGTATTTCAGAGAATTTCTACGCTAGAGGTGATAATACCAGAGTATATTTTTTCACACAAGAAGAAATAACGAATCTCTTTAAAGGAGCTGGCTTTTTGGAAGAACAGAACTTGATTGATAGAAGACTTCAAGTGAATAGAGGTAAAATGTTGAAAATGTACAGAGTTTGGATACAAGGAAAATATAGAAAACCATTATAACAGTAAACATTATATTTTTATTTCACGAATAATGTAATATCACATAGGAACATAGTCCCAAAATTTTAGACATTGAACTATAAAATATGCAATTATTATATCATGTTAAAATGGTTATGGCATCTCCCATACTAGGTAATACTCCATATGTGGCATGAACCATATTATTGCGAATGTCACACTGTTTTTAAACTGTTAAACTTCTCTAATTAATCATAAACATGTATAATGAAAAAGTTTCGGTAGCGTAGTAGTATGTATGTGTTCATTGCACCATGTAGTGGAGTTAAATGTCCTTCATGCACAAATTCAACAGTGAAAGTGAGTACTGGTTTAAGTCTGCCAGGTTGTATCGGGTGTCCCAGACATTGCCAAGTGACATATAAGTGTTTCCAGTTGAACAGTTAAATAGCTATTACCTATTTACTATATATTGCGTCTCATAGTACCAAATTTAAGCCTATTAGTAGATATTTTCACAATAACTAATAATACTTTTATTTTTTCATCAGAAACATATTACTGAAGAACTTCAAATTTAGCCTCATATGGCAGGCTGACAAATGTGCTCATATTTATGTTCAGAATCGGTGGTCCCTCCCAAGTAACTTTAAACTCGTCGATCAACTTCTTCATTAGTATCTCAATCTCTAGTTCAGCAAGCCTTCTGCCAATACAACTCCTGATACCAAACCCGAACGGCAATGTGGCCATAGGGTGTGCGTTCCCGTAGTACAATGGATCTGTTTTATCTGCCAACCATCTCTCCGGTATAAACTCGTTCGGCCGCGGATAATACTTTTCTATTCTTGATAAAAATTCATTTGGTGCTATGATAACAACCTTAAATTAATAAATGTTATTAAAATTACCTATCGCCTTTGACCAGGCACTTTAAGAAAAATTGGGAGTAAATTGGAAGGGATAGGTAGGAAGGAAGGTACGATAATGAAAGGAAAGGAAATTGCTTATTCGTAGTAGAAAGTGTAAGCTTTGAAGTCTCGAGCCGGTCTGTAACGTATTCTGGCTCTTGTCGGAAAGCCTGAGTTCTAGAACATCTGTTTCTTAATGTGTATAATTGCCATAAAAAACACCTAATTGAAATTTCAAAGAGTATAAAGAATACAAGAAGAAAACTGTTTGCACTGACCCCAATTTTGAAAAAAGGTTAGGAAGATGATGATGATGTAATTTAAAAGTTACTTACTCCTGGAGGAATGTGATAGCCGCCGACAACATGATCCCTATCGGTTTTTCTCAAGTTCGGTGGGATAACATGCCAGATTCTTAGAGCTTCTTTTACGCAAGCTCTCAGATATCGTTTGCGAGGATTGTCTGAACGGATCTCTTGACGTAACCTTTCCTGTTTGTCTGGATTATTCGCCAAATGATAAATAAGGCCCGTTACGGTAAAAGACACCTGAAAAAAACTTATTGTATAGTCTGATATTTTTTGACTATTCATGAAAAATATTTTAAAAATTTTGGCTGATGAGCACAATCATTTGTTGTGTCTGGTCTGGGTATAAGTTATCTGTAGTTAATTGGTGTTTATAATTGGTGTATATACGTTTTATATATACGTTTGTGACTCCTGAGTTGCGGACGTTCATGGGCGGCGATGGTCACTTTCCATCAGATGACCCGTCTGCTCGTCTGCCCCTTCTAATAAAAAAAAAACTTACAATAAATTATGATCGTTAGCAGATTAGTTACCATAGTACAATGTCTGCCTATTTGGAATCATACGGCCGAGAGACGTAGTAATAATTACACATCTAAAGTCTAATGCAATCAATTCCATAAAAAACAATCTTTGATTCTGCTGTGATTTTTCTCCACTAATATCCTCTCTGCTGAATTACTTAAAATGTATGTTTATATTAATATTCCTAAGTTTACTTACACACTCAACTTATGAAATTCAAATGTTACAAAGATTAACTTTCCATAACAATGTGTGACAATCATTTACCGTATCTACTCCAGCTAGAAGCATTTCAACTGCCATCATTATAGCAACTCTCTCATCAATAGCTACAAGTTTCTCAACTATGCTTTTATCTTCTTCAGGAATATCGTATCCTCTTTTGTTTATTTGGCTTTTAGCCTGTTCTATATACATTGTACATAACCTGGAGGTATTCATTAAAAATAACATGTCAATATTATTTATTTCTTCATTGTATTTTAACCTAATAATTTAATAAGTAATGTTAACCTTCTTATTATGTCGTATTTAATGAATCTTTGTGTGTATAAATTGTTTGGATGAATAGCACAATGTTGGAGCCGATTTTGTGATGGAGACAGATGGCAGGCTGGTATATATTAGGCAGCTATTTTTTTATTTAATAGACAACTCCCGCATTAGCAATATATCCTGTCTTGCGGGGGACTTTACAAAACTAACATGAAAGAGACACAAAGAACACCCAGATTCAGAACAACAATTTGTGGAACACACAAAGTGTCGTCCCATGTCTTGATCGGACCTACAACACTCAGCGTAGTAGTAAGCGGCGTGACGATCGCTTAAACCACTACGCCATCGATCCTATTGATGAAGGCCCAATCCCCTACTCCCCCCTGCCCATTCCTGGGGGTAGAGGGGACACTGAAGGGGCGGCAAAGCCTTTATGTCGCTTGAGTTGTATGTGTCCAAGGGCGGCAGTCGCTTACCATCAACTAAACTGTCTGGTCGTATGCCCCTGTATCATTAAAAAAATATTTCATTATAGATGTCGAACTTTGAAATAATTAATTAATCTTATTTAAAATTCTTGACATAATATTAAAATAATACTTAAAACTTATATTTGCAATTGTCTCTTTCACGCTATATTCAACCGTCACCATATTTTAGTCAAGTAATTCTTGATACTAAGTAAATAACACTTTGTAACAACTTAAAAGCACTAAAGTTACATATTATTTTAATACTTACTCCAACTGTGTATCATATGCTTGTATAAGCTTCTTATACGCAGATGTAGCAATATACTTCCAAGGGTTTGGTAAGAATTCTAATTGAATCGATAGTAGACCAATATCTTTGGCACATTGTGTTAATATACTTGCTGGGTGTTTAGGTGTCAAATTCTCTTTGAGGCTTTCCAGGCGTGCTCCCAATCCTACAAAGGCGACGGATTCTAAAGACCATTTACTCATTTCAGAAACAAAGTTATCCGTCAAATACTTTTTATCACCTGTCAAATGCTTCAATCTTAAAAAAAAAACAATACTTTGTTTAATGCCACAAAAAATATAAATCAATAAACTGAAGGCTACTAAAATATATATATAGATATATATATAAGAAAATATTATACATAAACAGCAACTCATTATATATATCATCATCATCATCAACAGCCTTCAATAGTCCACTGCTGGACATAGGCCTCTCCTTAGAAAGGACGATATATGTATATATATATAAGTAATTTAAAATAATTCTCACCGTAAAAATTGCTGGGGTTTTACAATAAATACACTACGACTAAAACACTCACTCACTGCTTTATAACTCATGATTATCTATCTGAGTATTCACAAAATATTATAAGACAATATGGTCCATCGGACATTCGTGTACAATGATTTTGTAAACACAGAAACCCACACTAATATATAGCTCTCTTATCACAAAACACTGCTACTTATAAATAATTTAATTTTATGCTTACTCAATAATGATTAAGCATAAAAAATTTGCTTAGTCACTTAGTCAATTCGCAAACTCAGTAAAAAATATATTGACCCTTCTGTCTCTGATGCTATGGTCAATGTCATCTGTGACAATATATATAATAATGACTAGCAAATGTACGACGTTCTTGATTCTACGTGCGTATTTTGCGGGTGTAGCATTGACTGGATGGCTGCCAATGCTAATGCAGGCTAACCAAGACAGTAAAAGGCCTCTATCTTATTCAGGGGCAGACGTAATGTGCGGTCCATGGCCCTTTACGGGCGATCAGGTATCTGGGGCTCGTACTCGATGGCCGATGGGACTTCGGATATCATTTCCGAGGTCTGGTCCCCAAGTTGGTTGGGGCAGCGCGTGCGTTGGCGCGGCTGCTGCCCAACATGAAGGGACCCGATGACTCCTGCAGGAGACTCTACTCGGGGGTTGTGCGGTCCATGGCCCTTTACGGGTGCCCAGTATGGGCGGGGGCCCTGAAGGCCAGCAACGTCGCGATACTGCGACGACCGCAGCGAATGCTGGCCATCAGGATCATAAGGGGGTACCGCACGATCTCCTTTGAGGCGGCTAGTCTCCTGGCCGGAATTCCACCGTGGGACCTGGAGGCAAGAGCCCTTGCGGCTCTGTATAAGTGGTGCAAGGAGGCGCGGGAGTTGGGTCGGTGTCCCGAGATTCGAGAAATCGATGACCGGAAATCCCGACTTCGCCAGGTCATCATAGGGAAGTGGAGGGAACGACAACCGAGCGCCGGGCACGCCGTCATCGCGGCGGTAAGACCCGTTATGGAGGATTGGCTCGAGAGGCGTCACGGGACCCTCTCATACCGACTGACGCAGGTGATCACTGGGAAAGGATGTTTCGGGGATCGCCTGTGTCTGATCCGCTAGGAGCCAACGCCTGAGTGCCACCACTGCGATGGCCAGACCGTGGACACGGCTCTCCACACGCTGGCAGAGTGCCCGGCGTGGGTTGAGCAGAGGCGAGACTTCGTGGCGGCCATCGGAGTGGGAGTTCTCTCGCTCGATAGCCTGATTGCGGCTATCGTGCGGAGCGAGAGTGCGTGGAACTCTGCCGTCTCCTTCTGCGAGCAAGTTATGCTCGCGAAGGAGACGGCAGAGCGGGACCGGGAGAGGTTTAGGACTCTCCCGGCCCGCCAGGCCCGGGAACGGGCCAGGTACCGCAGGCGACTCAGGTGCAGGAGGTCGCAGAACGACCTCCGTCCTCCATAAGCGCAGGCCTGGGGGTGACAGGTGAGGCCATCTGTCACCCTAGCAGAAGCAGGCCGGGGTGGCGGCGAGCGCATTGCGAAGCGCGCTCGCTTTCAGGGAACAGAGGGAACATGGGGTTCCCACACGGGGGGGGTCGTCTACCTGTTGTTGTAGATGGCCCGAGGTATGTCGGGGCACCAGTGACTTCCTTTCTAGGGTATACCTGGTTCCCCGGCTATTAGTACCCGAGACGGCGTGCGGTTTTGGTCGGTTCAGGTCCGACATGCCACGGTGGTATCCGAGGGGATTTCCGCACGGCAAAAAAAAAAAAGGGGGCAGACGTAAACCCTAACCAGTAGAACCTTCTGATTTTTTTGCTGTTTTTTGCTGTTCCAAAATATCCCTAATCAATTAAAGCACTTTGCTATAAATGGTGTTTTGTGTCAGTTATTAGCTGTTTACTCTATTACAGCTCATATAAACAACACAGTTAACCTAACTAAGAACAATTACGTACCCATACGTTTGAATATACATTTATATCTGTCCAGCAAGGCTGGCCTTAACCATCCTGATGCCTTACGCAAGTCTACTCTTTTACACCAATTACACAGGGTGCTACCGAAAGTTGTGGTGAAATCGTAGGCGCGTTATGTATATATGTATATTTTAATGTTTGTGCTAAGGTCTTTGGTATTGACAACAGAATATATGCCATCAAATCTTTCTACCTTATCTAAATAAAGTACGGGGCTTATTGAACTAAAGATAAAATAACCTGATATACTTTAATGCAGTAGCATAGATAAATTTCGTATTTACTCAGGTATCTTACACTGATAATGCAAAAGAAATACTTTTAAATGAATCCTTTTTTTTAAGTTCAACCGACTTCAAACAATACTAACAAATAGCACTAAAAACCTAGCAGTAATCGCGGTTCATTTGCTGTCATTTTTGGAAGAGTTCCGTTATCTATCTCCGAAAGGTATCATCAGATATATATGAAATATAAATGGGACCATTTTTGAATAAACCCCTTTCGAACAAAAAATATTCTGCTAATTCGACTATAAATGACGAAGTTATACCCGAACCCATTAAATAAAATATAATCATCCGAAGTGACAGCCTCCTCCTTTTAGAAGTCGGTTAAAAACGAATTAATATTATAAAATAAATCTAACAGAGGGTATTAAACAGTGAAATCTAATCTATGTATTACGGTACATTAAGTTAATAGAAAAGAACAAGGGTAGGTCATAGAAAAGAACAAGAACAAAAAAAAAACAGCAAGGGTCTCAATAAGTAACAATTTAAAAACAATTGGAACCTTTTGGTTTGTTTGAAATAAGTGCTCTCATTTCATCGATTTGCCAGTATGGGATATCAGAAATGTAACAAATTCTTTTTAAACTTTTACTTTATTCAACAGAGAAGCCTGCGATATCAGTACAGGTTCTAAAACTAAAATGCTTTCTAATCAAAATTAATGAACGGCCATGTATAGCATGTAGGTGCCATGCTGAACGAACTACCTAATATGTTACTGGAGTTGAACATGAGCTGATGACTTTTTAACCAATGTTCTGTAATACAAAAAATATCAATTTTGTCACATCTCATGAACAATTCAATCTCTGGGTGCTTACTAGACATTCCTTGAATAATTTGATGCTCTAGAATGGAACTATTTGATACCATTGTATATGGTATATTTAAGCTAGAGGTTGCCTCTATTGCCCTACATCTAGTTTAAAATATCAATTAATAGCCAAATGCTTGGCTGGATCAATATTAAGTGTCTGAACAATTGGTTTAGTCGATAGGCTCTGGGCTTTGTCGATGGGATAGCGTGCTATGTATTCCTCCGCACGGGCTCGTGGAGGAATACATAGCACGATATCCTAGCTAGCTCGAAACTTGAAAATAGAACGCATCTGTGTTATATATTATTAAAAGGCAAATTTATTTGAAAATCGAACACAAAAGGTCATTTACAGCAATGAAAAAAATAAGAAGTATTATACTTTCATCATTTCCCACTTTTTCGTCTGCTACAATCGTGAACATTTGCGTGCTATGATATATAACGACTTTAAATGGGGTTATTAGTAACATTAGCTTTAGGTGATCTTCTCTCACTCGGGCAACCATTTTCAGATAGTTTTACGAATTTAAAATGTTTATTTTTCCGAAGTCTATTGTGGGGGCCCCTCTTTTGTGGAGGTCCCGGGGCTGTAGCCCCCGTTGCCCGCGCCTAAATCGGGCCCTGTGATCCGGAAGAAGCGGAAGAAGCGTTCCTCGGTATGGGTGTTTTCAGATGGCCAGTTGCCATCAAAATTACAAAGACTGGCAAAAAAATGGTGGCCAATTTTGTTTTACGGAGTGGACATCTAGCAACATCAATGCCAGAGAATTTGTAAGTCTGTTTAACTCAGAATAGTACACTACAGTCGCATTGCTAAAAGTTTTCATAGCTGTGCTGGTGAGACGATCAAGAGGAAGAAGTACGCTCTTTTCTTAAAGGTCGTATCGGTCCGAAATACCACAGCCTATAAGTTGTTCCACAGGTTGGTAGTGCGAGGCAAAAAGTGTCTTGAAAAGTGCACAGTGTTATGTGACTTCTTACACTTGTGACTTCTTTTTATTATAAAAGATCAGACAAAAGGCATGTTTTTTCAAGTCCTAAAGAAGCTGCAGTGGCTGCCTACGAATCAACGATTTTTAACCTGGCGGAGGAAGACTTTAATAAGTGTTTCCAAGACTGGTTTTGGCGGATGGAAAAATGCATAGAGAGTGTTTTAGAGTATTTTGAAAAATATAATATAAATTGTAAATATATATCAAAATTTATAGTGAATTTATATATAGTCTGTCAAGAAAGTCATGAAAAAAATGGAGGGCGCCACTGCTGTTATACCTGGTATCCCTGTGTACTTTGACTAAAAGATGTAGATACTTTTTTTTATAAAACAATATATTATTTTATTTTGCCAGAATCCCTGTATAAACCCGCGTAGGGTTTATGAAATATTTATTTATTATAAACGTCTTGATTTTGTAGGACAAACTAAAGTGCTAAGTGCTCGTTTGCTCAAAATTATTTACTTCAAGCTTATTTCTCTCTTAAAAACCAAATATACTTCTCTGGCTTGTGCTCTCCCACTTATCTTATATCTTCCTGGGGGAGGTAACAAAATCACTTTAAAAAGAGCTGAAATAGCTCTAAGTGCTATTTTGAAAGTGTGTTT